TCCAGCACTTTCGGCTGATGGTGGGTTGCGTAACAGTCTCCGGTCGCTGTCCTTTGCTGAACGCAGTACAGTAGTTACATGACCATTTTGACCATGAACACAGCCACCTGTTTTGCCGCAAGCGGCGTCCACTGAGCCCGTTGTTGCTTGGTCTCTGGGTCGAAACTGTACACCCAAGTCCCACGGCCACTGATGCTCTCCCAAAGTGCATCGGAACGTCCACCATTAAACCTGGCAATTATGATGCGGCACCAATTCACCTGATCTGCTTCCTGGTCCTCACGGAGCTGATGGGGTACCCAGTTTGCGCTAATCTTTCTAAGGTCAAGCTTCTCATGTAGGATAGTGTGGATTGATCCCAATGGCTTTCGACAGCTGTCACTGTCACCTGCACATCCTTCTCTACCATAGCCTGCATAGCAACAATGCTGTCCATTGTGGTAGCCTCCACCGGTGGACCACACCGTGTCATATCATTCAGAAACCGCCTGACTCGCTTGAATTCCGCAAACCACTCAAACACAGTATTTCCTGAAGGCGCATCATCAACAAAGGCAGGTCGCAAACGATCAACTCTCCCGAGGCTTTAAACATAGTAACATAGTAACTCATCGCCCTTCAGTGACATCGACTGAGTTCCATCCTTACAATCCGAGTATAGCGATCCTTATCGATTGTGAGCTGTGCTGGGATGCTGATATTTGGTTATATGAGTCGCAATCACTGAACAGTATTTACAAGGGGTCACAGTTCACTTTTTCCTTGCCCGATCATCTGCACCTGGTACGTGTACTGCGTATCCGGAACCTTTTTGCTCACTCTTTGTAGAGATTATATGGTCGTCTATCGAATGGTCAAAAGCCGTTCCGGCTTACAGCACATTGTAATGGACAACTGATTCTGACTAAAACATCAACTTGCACTGAGAACGGGTAAGCAATCCAGAAGAAGAAGTGATCGGTCGATGGTGGAATTCAAGGAACAAAGCATTTGATTTGACATTGAATTTCATGATTGCATAAAGCAATAAGCGAAGTGTAAGGTGAAACCAGAGTAAGAGATTTAGCGTCTG